TCTTTCTTCAATAAAATTTACTGGCTGGTGTGCGGTACACTTTTAAAACTAAGATTTTTATTAGTCTTGAGGACAACATTAATAATGATAATAATAATAATAATAATATGCAATAATAATCACTGAGGCACATTAAATGACATATACATGTATTATGTTAATATAAGCATTTTCATTAATCCATCTATGATTTTTTTTTTCAAAATTATATAATAAAACACTACGTAACATATAAACATGATAAATAGCATGAACCTAAACCAGACGTGTTCATCTGCCTGTCTACATTCTCCGCGTTTTTCTCCTCATTTACTTGTTTTCTCTCTCTCTCTCTCTCTCTCTCTCTCTCTCTCTCTCTCTCTCTCTCTCTCTCTCTCTGTTTATTTGTCTTACCTCATTTACTCACCTCTCACTCTATATTAAGACTTACAAATATTTTAACCCTTTGAGTGTCAGTTACGTACAAGTACGTCATTGCAGCCAGGGTCGGTCATGTACTTGTACGCATAAATTCTAGTGCCTTCAAACTGAGCGGAAGAAAGCTGTTAGGCCTACATATGATGGAATGGGTCTGTGTGATTAGTGTGCGCAGTAGGAAAAAAATCTAGGCACCCACATTGCATTGTGGGAGTGGTAATTCAGTGCGCCTTTGTCACCAAGCCAAGCGGTAAGGAAGGCCTCACTCTTCCTCGAATTAAGACTATTCTCTTCACAAGTGATAGTTCTAACACAGATTGAAGTGTCACTGAAGATGGGGAAGGCAGTGTGGGGGTGGGGAAGGCAGTGTGAATTTGTGTAAACAACATTGGCTGGCTGGCTGGCTGGGTGGCTGGGTGGCTGACTTTCTGGCTGGTCAGGTGGCTGGTCAGGTGGCTGGCTGGTCAGGTGGCTGGCTGGTCAGGTGGCTGGTCAGGTGGCTGGTCAATTGGCTGGCTGGCTGGCTGGCTCTATCTCTGTCTCACAGGTACACATAAATACAATTATACATAGTGTAAATTACCTAGGATAACCCAAAAAATCCAGACTGCCAAATAATAGTATCAGGACTCAGATGTGACACACTGTGTTGTGTGTGTTGGTTCACTAGTGGCTCTCTCTGACACAGACACAGACACACACACGTGTATAAAGTGAAAACAAATAAAGCGAAGGCAGTGTACCCTCATCAAATGTCACCATTGTCATTAGTGGTGTGATAAGATAAGAGACCCATATCAAATGTCACCACTGTCATTAGTGGAGTGATAAGACGAGTGACACACAAGTCTTATACCATGCTTCAATTATTATTATTATTATTATTATTATTATTTATATTCTCCCGTGTATCCTAGGTAATTTACCCTATGTATAATTGTATTTATATGTACCTGTGAGACAGAGACAGAGCCAGCCAGCCAGCCAGCCAGCCAGCCAGCCAGCCAGCCAGCCAGCCAGCCAGCCAGTCAGCCAGCCAGCCAGCCAGCCAGTCAGCCAGCCAACCAGTCAGCCAGCCAGCCGGCTGGCCAGCCAGTTAGCCAGCTGGTCAACCAGCCAGCCAGCCAGCCAGCCAGCCAGCCAGCCAGCCAGCCAGTCAGCCAACCAGCCAGCTGGTCAGCCAGCCAGCCAGCTGGTCAGCCAGCCAGCCAGCTGGTCAGCCAGCCATGTTGCTTACACAAACCCACGCTCCCTTCCCCACCAAGACATTGCTGGCACCTATAAATACTATGTATATATTTCTAGACAATAGTATGTGGCTAAAATAGGTGAAAATGTTGACCTGTCAATGTTTGTACAGTTATTGTACAGTACACAACGAGTGTACAAAACATGACTTATATTGTTCTCACACGACATAAAACTTACTTGAAAAAATAAAATGTTAAAAAATAAAAGAAAAAAGTAGTAAAATAATAAATAAACTATTACCGCGTGACCGGCTGTCGGCGATGTTGCCGTAAGAAGCTCACTTTCTGCCAACTTCATGCCTCCATATCTCGGTAAGTATTGATCGCAATTTTTTTTTTTGCCTATAATACTTACAAAATATGTTCTATCATTTCATAAGAAATTTTTTTTTTTTTTTTTTTTTAAATTTTTTGACCCTGAGAGCAAATTTGGGAGAGGACCTGTCAACCCTCGAAGGGTTAAGGTAAGTAATGAGTGCACGGTATACGCATTTTATCATTCTACAGCATTTTAAATGTTGTAGTACATTACGTGTGGGTGGGGTGACCTGGCTGGCTAACATACCTCCCACACCTGACTTTCTACATTTAAATACAACTCACTTCTCACCCTACATTAAGACTACAAATATTTTAAGGTAAGTAATGGATGTACTGTGCATGTATGTTACTTTTTATTGCTTTTAATGCCGTTCTATTGCTAACTTAATATATGTTACTTTAAACTTGTTGTCTGGCGTTTATATGCATTTATAAGTGGAAAAATGGTATTCTGCTTTCTGGCGATGTCCCCTTTCTGGCAGTAGCCTGGAACCTTACCTGCTGTATAAGTGAGGCCCTACTGCATATATTTTCTCGTGAAATGCCAATATTTTTCTGAAGGAAATGACACCAAAATTGAGAAATTTGGTGGAAAATTGAGGGAGTTACACCGGCAGAAAGTTACCAGACTGGACGCGATTTACACACCAGAAGTTCAGCCTACTACGAGGTCTATTTTAGCCCAGTACCATTGTTCTGGTTGACCAAATTCACAGCTATTTCACTAGCATGTCTTCTGTCCTATGGACTGAGCGCAAGAAACCGCCCATTCAATCATTTCAACTCCCCAATAAACCTTTTAGCCTAAAAAAAAGGCCAATTTCTGAAAATCCATATTAAAGTAAGTTCTACATCTAATAAAATAATCAATATTATCACTATACTTATGGCAATATGCTAAAATGATTATACTGAGAGTGGGAATATGCAATGCACGTCACAAATACTATACATGGCATTTCAAAAAAGATGAACCCACTCTCAGGGCAATATATATAACAATCGGGTCCATCGTTTTGAAATGGGTATTTCAATTTTTCTCCGAAATATTTGAGGATCAAGTAAAAAAGACAGGCTCTATAATGATATGATAAACTGAATTAGAATATAAGTATGGTGAGTCCCCAACTCACATGTTGAGAATCTTCTGTACTGTGTATCTTATCATGATTGTACAAAATTCAGGTACACAAAAAGATTTCCTGTATTATGAATATTACATACAATTCAGGAGGTCCCCAATGTGCCTGTAAGTCGAGGACTTACTGTATTAGTTATCGAAAGTAAATATCATTTCCATCATCGTACGACAAAATCTGAAACAGTCTGGTGCTGTAGTTCTACACCATGAGCTCGGCTTACTCATATAAGCTGTGAGTGGTAAATTTAGACCTAGATATGAGGTAATAGGTCTATGTCATGAGTGTGCACCATATACAAAAATGTTCTGCCCCATGCAGTGCACGAGGAAAACACTGTGACCGTCTTTGGTTTAAAACAGCAACTTTGCAGTGTAATTTCATGTGGTTTTTATTGTTTTATTCCTGGTTTCTTGGTCTCATTTTATAGAATGGAAGATATATTACAGAAATTGAGGTGATTCTGACTGATTTCAGAACCGAAAGTAGCTTGAAATTGAGCTCAAAATAGCAGAAATGTTTGATTTTTGCCGATATTACAGAGTACATAAATGATGTCACTTACCCATTTGTACTCTCTTTACTACCTCTCATTTTATAATAACAGCCATACCCTGCCTTACATCATTAATTGGTTCCAAGAGCTGTGACCTAACCCAGTTTTTGACATAAACTGGACATACAGTAGAACCCCCGTATTCATGGTTTACTGTGGCCCAAAAATACTTCTTAATTTAGCTTAATAATGACCACGAAAGTAGTGATGGTGACAGCTGTTCAACATCTCAGAGAAGCTGTGAAGCGCTTCCCTTCAGTGATAAAGTCATAATTTTTCACTTATTGTACATAATTTGTCAATTATATAGGATTTATATACAGGGTTCACTGCTATCCACAGTTTCTGGTATCCTCAGCAGGTCCTAGCAAGGTATCCCCCATGGATACAGGGGATACAGTATCCCTCGTGGATACAGGGGATACTGTAATGCCTTAATATGATGACAAATATTGTAAATATTGAAAAATATAACAATTGCTAAATCTTCAAGAATAATAAGAACACATTTTTGTCATATTTTTTCAAGAATAATGAACAAGAAAAAATGGTAACGTAGGTGACGTCAAGTTGGACGCGATGACGATCCCCAAACTGAAATTTATCCTAGAAAAGTGGCGTAAAGGCCAATTTGATGTAGGTTGAAATGATGTAAAGCGACGTATGACAGTTCCTATTGATAACTTTATCATTAAATACCTATGCCTAGTCTTAAGTAGGCTCTAAGAGGCCTAGGCCACCAGAAATGCACATGCTAGTGCCTTTCTCTATGCTTAATACAACATCCGCTGCTACGACACGAAGAAACAAATTTGTTTGTCTTTGTTCTGTTATACGATGATGCAAAATAAGACGGCTATTGATAGGCCTAGGCCTAACCCCGGACTTCGGTAATTTCACTTTCTGATGCTTGTGCACAGAAGTACGTATATTATGATCGAAACTAAGCTCTAAACCCACCAGGGTCATAGACTGCTACTTTAGGTACAGTGGAACCCTGTATATAAGCCTTAATTTTGCTTAATAATAATAATTATAAAGAAAAAACAACAACAATAATAGTAATAATAATAATAATAATAAAGAAAAAATATAATATTATTATTATTATTATTATTATTATTATTATTTCCTATTAATAATGATAATGATAAATAATAAATAATAATAATAATAATAACCCAAGAATATTAACCATGGTGCATTAATAACCCAAGATAACCCAAGAAGGTTAATAATCCAGGATAATCCAAGATAATTAACCTAAATAGGTTAATAACTCGGAAGAATGGACTCGGCAGGTCTAAGGTGGCTTACCCCACATTTCCGGCCTCTGCCTGGCTTATCCTGGCTTATCCACACCGTCCACAGGTCACCTGGTGTTCTGTTATCCCTCAGGGCTACTCAGGCAACAAAAATTAACCTGATTTGTGTGGTTTTCAGGGAGAAAACTGGAGTTTTCTTCCTGCAGGGCGAGTGAAACCTTTCAGGGTGATGGTGTTCCTTTGTTGTTGTTGTTGGATTGTAGGGCTCGTGTGGACTAGGAGCCGTACACTCATGGAGTCGGAATTGTCTGATATGTCCGGCTTCACTTATTTTATGGAGCTGGAATAACTAAAAAAGACGAATAAAGAAAGTACAGGAAGGAAGAAGGTAGCCGGCCAAAGATGAAAGAAGATAACTGGGTTGAAAGGTTACTTTTGCATTGGCTTAGGATGAAGAGTTGAGACAGTCTCATGGCCGAACCAGCCAGCAGCCGATAAATTAAATTTAAACATTAAACTTATTCTTATAAATTAAAATCTAGTTTAAAGGGTTGGTTAGTGTGTTAGGCCTAGAAAAATCACTGCAGTCCTTTCTCTATGCTTAAAAACATCTCGACGACCGAAGAAACAAATTGTTTGTCTTCGTGTTATCGGTGTACAGAACAAAATAGACGGTATCGATAGCTAGGCCTAACCCCACTGGTATTACTTCGATGTTACCTAACTAGCATGGCTAGGTATTACAGAGTTAAACCACCTAAAACCTAGCATGGCTAGGTTTCGGGAACTTAAATAAACCTTAAGTTTAAATATAACAAATTATGAGGTAAGTTGGATTAGGCTAAAGTGACTAAGTACTATTTATGAGTTTAGCAATGTGAATCTTTTGTTTTGGCATCAATATATATTTGCATAATGAGATATCACAGGCCAACTATAGACTATTAATAACAATATTTTGAGCTTGGATTGATATCCTATTGATGTCAATGGGTAAAGTGAGTGTAAAGTGTGAACCAACAGGTTGGTATTCGTGTAGTTAGTTGACGGGGTGTATCAGGGATAAGATGTTTTCCTGATGGTAGCTTTGAAGGTGATGAATTGTCTGCATTCTAGAGTCTCTCAGGTAGGGGTTCCAGATTTTAGGCCTTTGACATACATGAATTTTTTGTAAAGGTTTAGTGATGACACGGGAATTTCCATTTCACTTGGTCAAAGGAAAATAACGAGCGAAGGGTCAGGAATAAGGTGGGGAAACATGAAGGAGTTGGAAAAGGAACAAGAAAGAACCTGGTTAAATGGTTCCCAATTGCTTATGTGTTGTAAGGGTCACGCACACAAAGAGCCGACAAACATGGTGTTGGAATTTGAGAAATAGCCGGTTCGCTTTTTTTATGGTCTGGGGAAATTACTAATTAAGTACAAATAAAGAAGTAAACAGAGGAAGGGAAGAAATTAGGCCGTTCGATATTTTTTTTTTTTTATTTTTTATTAATATTATATATAAGTTTATTATCAACCCAAAACCGCATCCTGTGGGTGGTAATGTAATGTCAAAAGATAAAAGGTACATAATTGTCCAGGGACTGGACCTCCAAGTTTTGATAGGCTGAGCAAGTTACAAAGGTAATAACTAGATCTGTCATAAATCATACAAATTACGAAGGTAATGAGCTCCAGGTTTGAGCTGATCAACTCATGAATAATTGCAAAGGTAATGTATCATAAACACATTAATCATGAGAATTTACAAAGGTAATGGCTCCAGGTAGCTGGTCACAATCATGACAAGTTTCAAGAGGTAATGATGATAAACACGTTATGACTGATTAGTCAGACAAATACAGAGTAATGAGAGTTAACAACATGCAGGGATTCATCCATTTGCCGGCAAAACAGATGTTGCTAGGTCCTGTCTCTCTCGGCAGAAGCCATTGCAAACAGCAGCAAGTTGCCCAGGGATGCTGCTTGCAGTTAGCCTTTCGACCCTCCCCAAGTTTCCAAGAAGTCAGTGACATCGTAGCAGCCCATGGAGCTTGTCCTAGGACATGTCAGCGTCCTGGTGGACGCCAAGTTGAGTGGAAACCCAGGGACCCTCGTGTGCAAAGGATGTTGAAGCTTGACGGAACTGAGTACACACTGCCTGTGCACACTCTGGGCAGCTGCCTCGCAGCACAAGGGCGACTCTTGAGGCTCGCATTTCGGGTACGAGGTTTCATAGCTAGCCTTTCTGCGCAGTACGTTTCAATGTTCGAAAGTTTAGAATCATTGTAATAGGTATGTTCGATAAAGAAGGAAAAAGATAATCTGATTGAAAGTTTACTTTTCATTGGCTTAAGATGAAGGGTTGACACGGTCTCAGCGCCGTACCAGCCAACAGCCCAAAATGTCCAGCACAGCCAGATTCACTTAATCCAAGAAGGATAAATAACGAATGAAGGAGCAGGAAGAAGGTAGGGGAAGAAAGAAGGTAGTTAGATAAAGGAGAAAGAGGGGAAAATAATTTCCTTAGTGATGGGTTAGGTTCAAGGGCTCGTGTGGACTAGTACCGTATCCTCATGGAGCCGGATTGTCCGTTTTATCCTGTTTCACTTGTTTTTAAAAGCTGGAATTACAGAAGAAAGCGGAAAAATAAAGAAAGTACATGTAGGTGGATAAAGAAGAAGAAAAAAGAAATCTGGAAAACATTAGGACGTGTTTCCTTAAGACACCTGTTGTCCATGTTCACCCAATAGTATATAATGGGTACCTGGGTGTTAGTGGACTGGTGATGGTCACATCCTGGGTGTTAGTGGACTGGTGTGGGTAAGATAAGATAAGATAAGATAAGATTTTGTTCGGATTTTTAACCTCGGAGGGTTAGCCACCCAGGATAACCCAAGAAAGTCAGTGCGTCATCGAGGACTGTCTAACTTATTTCCATTGGGGTCCTTAATCTTGTCCCCCAGGATGCGACCCACACCAGTCGACTAACACCCAGGTACCTATTTGCTGCTAGGTGAACAGGACAACAGGTGTAAGGAGACGTGTCGAATGTTTCCACCCGCCGGGAATCGAACACCGGGCCCTCCGTGTGTGAAGCGGGAGCTTAAGCCACCAGGCCCCGGCCACCCACATCCTGGGTGTTAGTGGACTGGTGTGGGTCACATCCTGGGTGTTAGTGGACTGGTGTGGGTCACATCCTGGGTGTTAGTGACTGGTGTGGGTCACATCCTGGGTGTTAGTGGACTGGTGTGGGTCACATCCTGGGTGTTAGTGGACTGGTGTGGGTCACATCCTGGGTGTTAGTGGACTGGTGTGGGTCACATCCTGGGTGTTAGTGGACTGGTGTGGTCACATCCTGGGTGTTAGTGGACTGGTGTAGGGTCACATCCTGGGTGTTAGTGGACTGGTGTGTGTCACATCCTGGGTGTTAGTGGACTGGTGTGGGTCACATCCTGGTGTTAGTGGACTGGTGTGGGTCACATCCTAGGTGTCTAGTGGACTGGTGTGGGTCACATCCTGGGTGTTAGTGGACTGGTGTGGGTCACATCCTGGGTGTTAGTGGACTGGTGTGGGTCACATCCTGGGTGTTAGTGGACTGGTGTGGGTCACATCCTGGATGTTAGTGGACTGGTGTGTGTCACATCCTGGGTTTAGTGACTGGTGTGGTCACATCCTGGGTGTTAGTGGACTGGTGTGGTCACATCCTGGGTGTTAGTGGACTGGTGTGGTCACATCCTGGGTGTTAGTGGACTGGTGTGGGTCACATCCTGGGTGTTAGTGGACTGGTGTGGGTCACATCCTGGGTGTTAGTGGACTGGTGTTGGTCACATCCTGGGTGTTAGTGGACTGGTGTGGGTCACATCCTGGGTGTTAGTGGACTGGTGTGGGTCACATCCTAGGTGTTAGTGGACTGGTGTGGTCACATCCTGGGTGTTAGTGGACTGGTGTGGTCACATCCTGGGTGTTAGTGGACTGGGTGGGTCACTATCCTGGGTGTTAGTGGACTGGTGTGGGTCACATCCTGGGTGTTAGTGGACTGGTGTGGGTCACATCCTGGGTGTTAGTGGACTGGTGTGGGTCGCATCCTGGGAGTTAGTGGACTGGTGTGGGTCACATCCTGGGTGTTAGTGGACTGGTGTGGGTGGTATCCTATGAGTTAGTGGACTGGTGTGGGTCACATCCTGGGTGTTAGTGGACTGGTGTGGGTCACATCCTGGGTGTTAGTGGACTGGTGTGGGTCACATCCTGGGTGTTAGTGGACTGGTGTGGGTGGCATCCTGGGTGTTAGTGGACTGGTGTGGGTCACATCCTGGGGTTAGTGGACTGGTGTGGGTCACATCCTGGGTGTTAGTGGACTGGTGTAGGTCATCCTGGGTGTTAGTGGACTGGTGTGTGTCACATCCTGGGTGTTAGTGGACTGGTGTGGTCACATCCTGGGTGTTAGTGGACTGGTGGGTCACATCCTGGGTGTTAGTGGACTGGTGTGGGTGGCCATCCTGGGAGTTAGTGGACTGGTGTGGGTCACATCCTGGGTGTTAGTGGACTGGTGTGGGTCACATCCTGGGTGTTAGTGGACTGGTGTGGGTCACATCCTGGGTGTTAGTGGACTGGTGTGAGTCACATCCTGGGTGTTAGTGGACTGGTGTGGGTCACATCCTGGGTGTTAGTGGACTGGTGTGGGTCACATCCTGGGTGTTAGTGGACTGGTGTGGGTCACATCCTGGGTGTTAGTGGACTGGTGTGCGTCACATCCTGGGTGTTAGTGGACTGGTGTGGGTCACATCCTGGTGTTAGTGGACTGGTGTTGGGTCGCATCCTGGGTGTTAGTGGACTGGTGTGGGTCACATCCTGGGTGTTAGTGGACTGGTGTTGGTCACATCCTGGGTGTTAGTGGACTGGTGTTGGTCACATCCTGGGGTTAGTGGACTGGTTGTGGCACACCTGGGTGTTAGGGACTGTGTGGTCACATCCTGGGTGTTAGTGGACTGGTGTTGTCACATCCTGGGTGTTAGTGGACTGGTGTTGGTCACATCCTGGGTGTTAGTGGACTGGTGTTGGTCACATCCTGGGTGTTAGTGGACTGGTGTTGGTCACATCCTGGTGTTAGTGGACTGGTGTTGGGTCGCATCCTGGGTGTTAGTGGACTGGTGTTGGTCACATCCTGGGTGTTAGTGGACTGGTGTGGGTCGCATCCTGGGTGTTAGTGGACTGGTGTTGGTCACATCCTGGGTGTTAGTGGACTGGTGTTGGTCACATCCTGGGTG